GTTACTTTTGTCGATCAAGTTCTTCTGTCTTACTGCTCTCCTCATGAAGCCAATCTTTGGACTTTATTTTAGATGCATTCAGTCCAGCGATGTTTTTCTCCAACTGGGAGATATGCTGAAACCAGATGAATGCCATACAAATCATCTCATACCAACATTATTGTATTATTGTTTTGGCATTTTACAACGTGTATATTCTTACGTTTTCACACTGTGTGACTGTCTCCTCCTTGTCTTGTAGCTCTGATGTAATGATAACCATTTCCCTGCGTGTTTCTGCATAGATTTTTCTTTGTTCTTTAATCTTAAGAACAGTTTCCTCTATCTAAACAGGGAAAATATTAATTAAATCCCAGCTTTTGAGTGAAAATCTATCCTGTTTGAAAAAATAGGCTCAGTCTACCTCCTTTTCTATAGTGTGTTTGCTTTCAGCAAATGTTTTCCTCTTCTGAATCATGTTTTCTTTTAGGTCCCGTTGGGCTATTTCCACCTGGACAATTTCGTCCTTCAATGACTGGATCTCATTCTGTTTTTCCGTAAGCAGTATCTTTGTACCAGCTTTTTTTGACAGCTGCTGATTCATCTGATCAACAGCTTCTCCATAGTTTCCTTTAATGTTTTCTCTCTCCCGACTGAAATGAAATGACAAGAGAAAATGTGAAGGCCAAGAATGGTAACCCATATTTAGAATTTGTTCTCTGCATTTAACCCATTCAAGTTAGCAAACATGCATTTTATCATTTGTGAGCTATAATGCTAAAGTGTGTCATTTCTATGGCACCAAACAGAACTGCAAAAATAATGACTAATTTCCTCAAATGCTCATCATTGGTCAGAGAAAAAAAGATAGCCCGGCCTTTGAAAGCCCTTAGGTGTGTTTGACTTGATATGGAACAAAGTTTGGGAGAAGCACCTTCAGATAACAGGAGCTTATCCAGTCATCTCAATTAACATCGCGCTGCTCTGTGTATTTGACAAATATTATACCTTATCCACTTTCTCAACAGTTTTTCGCTTTGCTTTTCTGATACAGTATACGCAAACATTGCGTAAGCACCACTTTCCGACTGTCCGACTTTATGTCTCCGCTTTCAACATCGAACACACCTATTTCTTTTACAAGAAAGTTAATGTTGAAAGAAATGTACACATGCACTTAAAATAATGGCCTGCACAAATAATAGCTTAAAAATAAAACACATGTCATGCACAAATAATAGCCTAATGGAAACTACATTTCCCATGATCCATGTCAACATGTTTGAAGACTCACAGCAGAACAGCATTTTCTTGTTCAAAGATTTGTTGCTTCTCCTCCATGGATTGTATGTCATCTACTACAGATTTCAGCTCAGACTGAAGTTGATTCAACACTGCAGCATTATCTTCTCTAGCTGCAGCTACACAAGCTTCAAAAACATCAACAAACATCTTTAAGAAGTTACAGTTTCCCATTAACCATGAGTTGTGGCCACATCATTTAGACTTTTATTTCATGGATTCCGTTTCCAAAGCTTTGTGGATGAACTCACCTGATATTTCATTTTTGATTTCATCCTGTAGGTTAATTTTTTTATGTCGAAGCTTGCTTGTCTCAATGGTTTCAACCTCAAGTTTCTCACGTGCTGTTTTTCTAGATGATTCCTAAATAAGATTGCCACCATGATATGAACACATCAATTGATCATTCCTGTAATGCAGTAGGCCTACCTGAATTTGGTAATTTAACAGGATGGAAAATTATTCTTTCTCTATCATTTTGATTAGAGAAAGGAAAATAAGAAGAAACACTCGGAATATGAATACATTTACCAATTTTTCATGCTAGAAAGTATGATGGCACTTAAAATAGCCAAACTCAAACTATCATGAGATTATTTGAATTCACCCCTATGTTGAATTCATTTTGACAAAAGAAAACATCTGTTATGAAATCCATCTCTAAAAATTGTGAAATTGATCATGTATAGCCAACTATTTTAAGAAAATTATTACAGGGCATTAAAATGTGACGTAGCCTACTGCAAAACAGAAATGACAAATCGGATATAAGCCGAATATTGATATTGACCCCCTTTTTTGGAAAACCATAGTAAAGAATGGACCAGTTTAGAAAAGGATTCAATTAAATATATACTTAATACCAGCTCTTCAATGGCTTCAGCTGTCTCTCTCAGATGGTGACTTGCTTCTTGACTAAAAGAAACCCCTTCTTCCCTCAGTCGTGTATCTGTAAGGTGTAAATTACTCTACATTATTTCACTGAACAATTAAAACTCGATTCTTAATATGTATTAGACATAACGTAGCCTAATTGGTGTGATTGAAGCGATGCTAGTAGGCTGTTTTTCCACTAACGTTAGTTGGCGTATGAATTTGTGTGCGTGAAATACGTTTTTTTTTCCGCTTAAAAAGACAATTTCTTACCTAACTCGGCCAAATGTTCTAAGGCAATCCTTACAGCTGGGAAATCCGGTACCAAACAAGCCGCCATATTATTAACTATTATTTTATTTTTAAACGGGAAAAGGACGACAAGCGATTGGCATAAGAGTCGAAAACAGCAGTTTGACTCGCAGTTCATCTGTGTATTGTATGTGTAGCCTGCTGCACACGTCGGCATGACGACCGTCACTCACAGTGCACCCCAGTGTGTGATCTGCATTTTCCTCAAGTTACAAAATTGCAGCTTTGATCGGAGTAGGCCTATGTAGAAAGATTATGAAGTAAACAGATCTCAAAGTCGGTTTGTTCTACATGAAATCAAATCTCTTTACAATTCCTTATTTATTTATTTATTTATTTGAAGGAATATGTTCAGTTTGTAGGCTATACTATTTCAAGAAAGATCCTATATCTGTGGCTAACGTTACTTTTTTTATTTAGTTGTTTTTAATTATTAATTATATAATTAATAATATATATATATATATTATATAGTTATTATTATAATAGGCCTATATATTATATTAATTAATAATATATATTATATAATTATTATAATTAATAATAATTAATTATATAATTAATTATTTTTCGGATTTTGGAAGATGTGTGATAACAGTTGAAATTATTGTCGTAAAGGCAAGAGCAACACTCCGCAAATCCAAATGTAGACTGTCCCTCCATCACTTAGCAGCAGCAGTGCCGCGTCAGACACGCAAAAATGTGTAGATGGAAAATGTGTAGCCTAGATGTCACGGTTTAACCCCCTCAAACGTGAAACTTACACGTTTGCGTTAACACGCTCCATTGGAGAGATATCCGGATGTTTATTCGCCTCTGCCATAACGACCTATTGGTTTTCATTAAACCGAGAAAATGGAATTTTGTTTTATTTACGATCACTGAGAAATGTTCTATTATGCAATATGAAGAGTTCAGATGCAAAAGCCTCTAAATGCCATTTGAAATTTTCTTCTAAAATGATCATTTTTATGAAGCTTATATATAAGTTCAGTAATTTCACTTAAATGACAATTAATAGGTAATCCTCATTGAAATTTAACTGAAATTACTGAACTTAAATATACAAGCTTGATAAAAATGATCATTCTAGAAGAAAATTTCAAATGGCACTTAGAGGCTTTTGCATATGAAGAGTTCAGATGCAAAAGCCTCTAAGTGCCATTTGAAATTTTCTTCTAGAATGATCATGCATGAGTTCAGATGCAAAAGCCTCTAAGTGCCATTTGAAATTTTCTTCAAATGAAAAGGATTCATTTGCCTGGATCCATGCCGAAGAAAATGTCTAAATGTCACATTTTTAATGAAGCAGCCTAAACTCCTATCTTATTTCAGGTTAGGAAATCATATCGCTAGCATCAACGTTTCGGTCTAACTTTAGCTACCTATTGTAACCGATGTCACTTTTCATCTCGCGAGCTTAAATACGGCTTTTAATCTGTGTTTTTTTTAATAAAACATACACTGAAAATGGAGAATTAACATCGCAGTCATGTGATTTAGTCAGCTTGATTAACATTATTACAATATATTACTATTTAACACAGATGTTATTTGCTAATTACATAAACTATAAGCTCAATTCATTAGTATAAATATATATTTAGTATATAAATATATATTTACAAAATATATATTTAGTATAAAATTTTTAAGTATATATATTTGTATGGTCCTCGAATGTGTTCAGATATTTCACCAGTATCAGCCTTTTCACAATTTATCACTCTGCTTGTCTGTGTTTGCCCAACTTGCATTATTAAGTAAGTCAGTAGGTGGCGACAAGTGACTGTCTTTATGAGTGAACAATTTAACTTTAACTTTAACAGATTAGTGCCAAAAAAATTGATTATCTAACCAATCTTTAATGCTAACATATAAATTGCTCATTTTCGTCTGGACACAAAAAGATTGCACTGGTGTTTGATTGAAATTCATCTAGGCTATGCAAAATAATCCTTGAAAGATTTCTCATTAAGGCCATTCCTGTTAGGAATATGGATTGTGTATTGTCAACAATAAGCAGAAACGTTCTGCATTTGCATCCAAGCGTGGATCATTCATTTCAACATTTATCCTCATTCTCATATTTAAGAATCTGTCATCTTTTATGCTACTGCCAGTGCCCACTGACATACTTTTAAAGCTATTGTTATACCATTTTTATGACCTTTAAACACCATAAAATGCACACATGTAGGTCTGAGAAATCCAAATTTTCTGCAATATGCCTGCAATATGCATTATTCTCTGTATCGAATCATGCTATCTTATTCCCCAGCCCCTGATGTTTCGGGTCCAGCCCCTGATGTTTTTGAAACCTAGATGCCTTTAACCGTTGTACACTTGTTCTGCAGCATTTCGCACATTCGAAAAAGTCTAAAATGTTCCAAAAACGTGCTGCTCAAGTAAAAAAATAAAATAATAATAAAAATGGATTGTGAACGACTCATACAGTGCAAATATGGTTTGGGGTGAATGAAGTCTGCTTTCATGTTAGTGTCAGGCGAACACACCGGTCCAGTGACACGATAGCACAGAGCGGATCGAGTTGGCGCAGACCACAAAATGTATCAGACCAATTTGAATTCTGCATATAATGCTGTATTTTAAAGCAATATGGAGGAGATCAGGAGGAGAAACGGTTAGAGATTAGGAGGAAACTGTGGCTTTACCAAGCTCAACAGCTCAAGCTGTGATAAAAACAAAATGCTATTGGCTATTTTAAAAAGAGGGAAGAGGAGATATATATGTCAAGTCAAGTCACCTTTATTAATATAGTGCATTTTACAATACAGATAGTTTCAAAGTAGCTTTCCAGTGATAACAGGAAAATAATGCAACTTAGTTTGTTGTCCAGCAGATCTAGAAGAAAAGTTCAGTGATGGTTCATTTTTGTTGCAAAAAGGTTAAAAACTTACTTCATTCATATATATATAGCTGCTCTAGAGAAAACATTCTCCATTCTGTCATTATCCAGCTCAGTTTAGTTCTCATATAATGGAGCCGATGTCCAGCCCTGTCTTCCTATTTCAGCAGAAATTACGTCAACACATTGAATAAATCTGCGTGTTTCAAGGCACTTCAGTGGGCCTTTAAAAAACGTGTCTGTAGACCTTGTGTTTTTTTTGTTTTTTTTTCGTTCCACTGACCTGCATCACTCGTTTTTAACAGCAAAAAAGCATTCTGTGTGAACCGGCCCTTAGAAGAACTGAGGAAAAAAAAAAAAAAACAGTATTATGGCAAGATAGTTTCCACCAAAATACTATTGTTGCTATTATAAAATCCCATAGATATATACACAACAGATGTCACCTTGGCTACGGCAGTTCATTAGAACGAATGCGTCAATAGAGCCGCTTGGAACAGGGGAGTCCCTCCACTTTAAAGGTGCCATTTAAAAAAAAAAAAAATCATACTCCATATTCCATACCAGATGGGGGCAGTATACCTCCAGAAATTGAGTTGTGCCGCGGCCGTGCGCCCGTAATCTCACGTCTTCAAACAACACGGGCGAGCACTGTATTGCTCTGTCTCCCTCCTAGTAAAAGGTTGGAAGACGCAGTTTCACGTGGATCATTTGGACATTTTTAGAGATTAAAGACTCAATGAACAACATCTCAACGCTAAATTATAAAGGCCGTCTCATAGACGCCTGTCTCAAATACAAGCCGATGCATTTCGACGATATGGGAAAATAAAAGCCTGTGCTATTATGTGAAGTTTTACGGTATCATTTTGTTCATATTATATTTTTATTGTTAGTTTGAATTAATTTGACAAACAGCATTCGCTGATGTTGACCAAGCTAGCGCCATTCAGAGCTGCCAACTCTCACAAATTCACCATGAGACACGCAATCGACACTTTTCACACGTTCACGCCACATATCAATTCTGTCACGCACAGAAAAGGACACGGAGACCGACAGACAAGACGGAGCAGGTTAGATATGATATATAAAAAAATCTCAGCTTTCAGATTCTGTCAATTTTATTTCGCGATTCAAACAATAAAAACCGTTTAGGTGCTTGTAAATGTTACACAACAGATCCCTAGCGCACGTGAACCGATCATCTCTACTAGCTAATGGAAAAAGAACACGAACACTGTTGAAAGATACAGTATGCTACAACTTACCAAAATATATTCCTCATGCATTATATTCACCAATAATT